ATTAATATAGAGCAAATGTTCTCTCCTGCTGCCCTAAAGTGGACTTAGATCTCTGGAAGAATGTCATTAATTTAATTTGCTACAGTGAACTAGTTATTAATCTCAGCAGACTTGAATAGATTCTCATACAGTCGATTGCATGTCACACGTCAGTGCTGTAATTTGTGACTTTTCATTGCCACTGGGAAAGAAACCTTGGACCTTGTGATTAAATTCCACGCATAAAGAAATCATCTAATAATGTGATTTGTTAGATTGCTGCAAAAAAGAGGTGTTATCGCTGAATGCTTAATGAAGCATTTTGTCTCTGGGAAACCATCTCACTCTCAAAGGTTAAAATAGCTGCCTGCTATTTTAGTGTAAAGGACATGCAGCTCTTTGGCTGCATTCCCACTGACGCTCAAATCCAGATTCAAGGGTGATGGATTTACAGTAGAAAGAATTTGCTACTGACGCAGACAACATGTTGAGACATTGTTTATACTGTTAAGGAATGCTGACAGACAATATACGATGACATTCTCCCCGTCTCTGTTCTTTTCCTGCTTTATTAATATTGAACCATTTTTGCTTATTTATTAAAATCTAGCATTGTTTTTGTCTTTATCTCTCTCCCTGCTTCTCTTAGAGCTGGGAATAAACAGTTGAGAGGACATTAAGGTGATATGCCCACCTCTTATTGTAAACCAGTGATATCCTCTGCTTTAGAACAAGAGACCATAATAATTTAAATCTGTGTTTGAGCAAGCTAAAGTGTAATGCACCACATCTGATGCATCTGCAATACAGCAAGGACAACACAGAAAAATGCTGACAAGTGCAAGATACTTGGCATCTAGTGGAATATAATTATAAAAAAAATCTTGTGCCATGTCTCCTAATATCCTAATATAATTCTCAGGGTGAGGACTGGTTCAATGTTTACTAATAATTCCAAATAACAAATGTGTGTTTATATCTAGGGATCAGCTTTAGTGAATGCAGAGGAACATAGATACCAGGAGGAATGAATAAAGGCTGAATCAATAAAACATCTAGTCAACTAAAATTGGTCTTAAAAGAAACAGTGTATGTGCATGATCTGAGATGGAGAATCAGAGTTTATGTACAGTATATCTGGCAAACATCTAATACTTTTAAGATGAAATGATTTAATCCAAACCTCTCATCTGGGCTCTCCGCTATTGCCCAAAACCTCAGAGTTTTTAAATAGCAAATTATTCTAAATTGCTTCACTGTTGCCATGGATACCCCCCCTCCAAAACCCTCTCCCCCAGTACCAACCCCGTTGTGCAATTACATTAGAGTGCCAAGGCATGGTGAGGTATTAAAAATCTGTAAAAGGCAGAAATGAACAGAGATAGTGAAATGTGATGTTTCTGTAACAAGAGATCACGTAGGAAACCAGGAAGATTAAATATGTAGGAGCTGTTAAAAGGCACTGACCTGTATAATGAAAGAAACAGCATGAAGTGCAAGGCAGGGAGTTGGGGGGGGGGAAGAAAGACGATGAAGTGCAAGGCCTGGGGTGTGGGGGGGGGGGGGCACAGAGAAAATGGCACAGCACAGGAGCAAAAAGCAGTCTATTTCAAGGTTATTGATGCCATCTTTTTCATGACCTCATTTTTAATTCAGAGCGCTGGGCCCTGACAGCTAATCTCGGGAAACGGTTTAAATAAATATCATTAAAGCTTCCCTGTAGCTGCAGCCGCAGACCTTGGCTTGGGCATTTCTACATTGATTTTTCCCTGCGCACTAATGAACGGCGCTCTGCTACTGTAACTGAAAACTCAAACTTTGAAAAATACAATTAGCTGAGGCTATCTCCTATTCAATTCCAGCTATGTAACTCCATTACTACCAGTGATTACTGCATGCTCCTGGACAGCATAAATATAGTGATTATGCCCCCGGCTCCATCTTTCACAATAACATCTCCTAGGAAACCATTTCATATGATTTTACCATTAGGTCTGTAAACATATAATGTGTATAATTTAAAATGAGAGCTGAATGCTTGTGGATATTTGCAGTTTTAACCCAAATATCACCAGGACAGTCAAGAATAGCTACTTAATTTAAAGCAATTATATCCTGAAATATTGTTTCCTTTTTTCCCCATTAGCTTGAGACTTTTTATTTCCTGCTCTACTCTACTTTAGCCTGCTGAGACAAATCTCAAGTGATCCTTCTGAGAGAAGAAGAAAACCTAAGTGGTGTTTCAGTTTGTACACTGTACATTCTTCCTTGTGAATTATTTTTCTGTAGCACATTGACTAATGATTAAAGGTGGAAACAAAGACGCCTCTGGGGAACAAACACACACTTCAGCGAGCCCACAAACAGCCTCATTCATCATGCGGAGAGAATGGTCATGTTTGCTGAGTTAATACAATGAGGCTAATTGCCCTGCAAGCAGCCCAAACACCAAGGCTCAGCTAAAATTATTCCCCTGAATAGAAACTTGCTCAGCTTCAGCTGATCTCTCTTACTTTCCCTTTCTCTCTCTCTCTCTCACACACACACAGATGCCCCATCACCCTCACCCCTCCCTCTTACACCTTCTCTCTCTGCCAGCCTGATATTCACTGCAGTGCACAGATATTATTGCTTTGTATTGATTCAGCATTATTTTCTCTCAGCTGCTTCTTGGTGGCTAGAGAGGGAAAGGCCAGCGCAGCAGCAGTCACACCTCAGCACTTCATCACACGGTTTCCTCCTCCTATCCCACTTGCCTTTCTACAACCATATTTACACCTTAAACTCATGAACAATACAGCTTTTCACATTTGGCTTCAAAGTGTTTTCTAGACAGTGACAGATCACACAAAAGAAGGATCAAAAGCATATTGTGGGTGCAGTGAAAGTCATATCTATTATTAGGATAAATAAGGAACTCCACTATGCAGCAGCTGCTCCTTTAAAGCATATACCTGCTTGAGGCAGTGAGGAAGAAGTGGGAATGCAGCATAAACACAGAAAGCACGCTCAGCTGAACACGTAGACGCACACTCTCAGCTTATGTACACATACAACATACTGACCAATACACTCTTACACCTATGGTCTCACACATTTCCTGGAACAGCTGCTCTAGCAGCCAATAACTGTGCTTGCACATTTGCTTACAGCGTGCCATCTTGATACAATGTAAAGCTGGGCAGCTGCCTCATATAGTACTGCAGGCATAATGCTGGATTACTGACAGGTGTGAATGTGTGTGCCTGAGCTGTGCTGATGCATGAACCGGCAGCGGCCCGAGGGCCGTGGAGAGGGTCACTGGCCCGAGGAAGGACCTGCTTCATGCAGACTGGTTATCTCTCATTGGGAAGATCGTATTTGGCGTTTATTTAACCTTGGGAAAGTGGGCGTGTATGCATGGTTATGTGAGTGCATTCAGGCAGCCCTACATAATACGCTCACAGCTCCCTCAGGATCACATCCATATGCTTGCTTTGGTTTGGTAATACCATCTGAGTGATTGTGATAGTTGCAAAATGCTGCAGTATCTGACTGAATGATTAGCTGAATACATTAAACTGTTATTGTCACTTTATCTTGCAGCTTTGCGCACTTGAAATGCCTATAAGGTGGAAAGCATAGTTGCTGTGTATGGTTATGTATCCATGCAGATTAGTTAATAATTCAAAACTCTGCTGCCACTTTAAGCTTTTAAATCTTCTTTAGCCTGCTGGGGTGGACTTTATGGCATAATTGGTTCCATAGTACCACAAACTACTCAGTCAATCCTAAAATAAATAAATGTATCTCATCTCATCATGAACTGATTTAGGTTTATAAAGAATGCCTTTCTTAATACTAGTAGAACTGCATGCCACAACAGTGAGAGTCAGCTATGAGTGATTTGCAAACTATCCCAAGTTGCAAGCACTAGTCTTCATATACAGTATGTGTAAATGCAGACTTCCTCTGATAATATTTGTCTTATAGTGTTCTTATGTTATGCTGTCAAGTCATATTTGATGCAGCTATGAGGAGGTTTACTCACCGCATATGGTGTTATACTGTATATACAGTAACTCCTGAACATAATAACTCACCTCTCATAGTGTCTCCGTGTACACGTGGCAGCGCTTGTGCTGCTGGGGTTGCCACCTAATTCATCATATACATGCTTCCACTGTCTGCGGACTGTGATCTACAGGAATGTATGAGAAGACGAGTGATAGAAGAAAGAGAAAAAACAAAGAGAGTGAAACAAAGAATGCAATGACATACATGTAGACAATTTTTAAAATATGTATTTAAACAACAAGGTAAAACATAAGCAGCTAACATCATTTTGAGGTCTAAGGGAATTACTGAGTCATGATGTTCCAGTTACTGAATCCTCAACACTCAATTCTCTAACATAATAAGCTCTGTTAACATCATTCAGTCAGTTGTTCCTGCTGTAACCCCTTATCCCATAACAGATGACTGACACTCTGAGCTGCCATAGAGCTAACAAAGCTTCGACATGAAACGTGAGCTAATCAAAGTAGATATGAGGGTTTTAATATGATATGAGCCCCAGTTATATGAGCTGTATCTTGTTTATGACCTGCTCTGGCTGTTTAGATGATATTATACTAGCTAGCTAATGAAGAAACAGGCATGAGCAATACGCTCGACAACTTAACATCAAACATTGACTTCACTTTGGAAACACGTCGTGCATAAACAGTGAGCCGGGTTAAAGCTGCCAAGTTAAATGCCTATGCCTCGTACACACTTATTTCTGATTCAGTCTCGTCATGTATGTGTGTGCATACTTGTGGGTATATATGTGTGTTTCCCTTCATCTCCAACATGGGAAAAAATGAGTGATTTGACCAATTTCCTTCTGACCTGTGCACAGCAGAGGAACATGTGTTTTCCACTCCAAGGGGGTTTTTGAAACAACGACACCATTTTTGCTAAATGTGGCTCTGAGCAAGACTTTCTTCTTGGGAAAATAGTGACTGACCTCAAGGGGCAAAATGAGGGCAGAGAAAGAAAAGACAGGGAAAAGAGAAGAGAGACAGCTAGGAAGACAGCGAGAGAAGAAAGAAAGCAGTAGAAGGTATACATCAGAAGGAGGAAAACAGGAAAAGGAGGATATAGACGATATAGACGAAACAAGGGAGAGATCTTAACAAAAGAGAAGGATTATATTGCCACATATGTAAATACTTACCAACTCATATCCTCCGAGTTTCTGAGCAGCTTGAAACATAGTCCAAAGGTTGACTGTGGGAGACAGAAGACAAACATAGCAGTCAGGAGCTCTGGGAAAGGACCTGAGCTGAAACATATGATGTCATATATAGTCATTACACCAGAGAGAAGGAGATGAATGCAGTCCTGGAAGATGTATTTAGATCCTTTAGTTTTGTATGCAAAAGCAGCGAAACCAAAAATATTCCATTGAAAGTCATTTATTTTCTGGATGCACTACCAGCAGAATCAAAGTGCACATTATGCAGATGGTTCCCTTTCAGAGTGTTGCATTACTGGATCGTTACTACTGATGCATCAACATATAGGTGGTATTTAAATGTCGCTGCTGGTCATGATGAGCTCACAGTAATTTTACAAATTCTGTACAGTGTCTTCTAGTTTAATCAATAACAATACACCATATTTTACAGGCTGATGATACTGTACATTTGTATGTAAAATCCAAATCTGTAAATAGCAACTATAGCTGTGAAATCAGATTAGATTCAACTTTATTTTGAGTGCACACATTAAGGCCATGGGTAGCACTACACCAATTAATGAAAACAATAAAGTTCATTGCTTTACTGTTTTCAGTAAAGCAATGAACTGTGACATATAGAGTAACTACAGCACTTGAGTAAATATATTTTTTACCACCTAAATGAAGGAAGGAATGAAGAGCAGAAAGGACAGTTAGACAGATTAGGAATATAGTAATTACATTCCCTGCGACAGGCAAAACAAAAACCGCACAAAGCAATCCCACACTTCAGCTGAAAGGACACAAATGAATAGCGAGTATTTGTGCAATCACTACTACAGCTCGTGATGTACTCCATCCTGACAGAGAGATTTGTTAACCCTCAGCTGCATTCTGCAGGTATGCATGAAAACCATTACAAGCTTGGAAATATACTCAAGCTTCCGTTTGAACTAATGCAAATTCATTTGCATTGATTTCCCTATGCAAATACACCACAACAGACCAAACAGAACTACGAGTCGTGTGCAACCTTTTCCTAAAATACAGTAGCTGTGTAAGCTTTCAGAGAGGCTTCAAATAGCTGTCTACCTTTGAAGGAAAATGTTTTCCACAAAGAACCACAAGTTCATTGGGGGACTTTTTGTGCCAATGACATTTGTATTTGCTTTCAGTAACATCATTGTTTAACATTTTTATATGAAGGCCTATAAATAAGAAAAGGAGGCCTCGCCTGGGGAGAAATCCATCAAAATTCAATCTGTGCATACACAAAGCCTTGCATTTGTCAAAATGACATTTTCCTATCTCCGCATTTGACAGCATTGATTTTTTCCTTGCCTCTTCTCTGCGACCGTTGCCAATGCACGGGTGGAATAACAAAGGAAGCCGGGTAGGTTTTTCTGTTTGAACTGAGCACTCCAGCGTATTGTGTTTTCTGACTGTAGAAACAGAAAGATGGTCTATTTAACTAGCTTGTTATGCATCGACTGTAATTACCACAATAGCACATGGGACTGGGAGGGAACAGAACGGCTAAAGGAAATGAGAGAACATGCCTTTTTGTAGTTGTCTTGTCATTAGCAATTTCTTTTCTTAATTCCCCTCTATTTGGCAGGGGCAATTATCACTGAGATAAGGATGACAAAACAGGAACACAATGCAGCCTCAGTGACACACCGATGGCATGGCAATTAGACAACAAGGCTGAAAGAGGGAGACAAATTGGAACTGATGTTCACAATCACAAGCACTGAAGCACACATGTGTCTGCAATAGTCACACACACACACTCAGAGTTGCCAGTTAATCTTGCAGATCAAGGGCATTCAGTTTATACAATGCAACCACTACAACTCCTGTTTTATTCGTCCTCAATCGACTCCCTCATTCCTTTCAGTGCCTCTGCTGCGCCCATACAACTTCAATGGCAGCAGCTGTAGAGCAAAGCAAATATTAACCAAGGGAAAAAAAAAAAAAAACAGGACAGCGATTTGCATGAAAAAACTGTGGCCACAAATTTCCTCTCCCACCATTCTGCACCTCAAATGTAACAGCCAACTATTTTCTGTGATTCAGGTGTTGGTGTGCATACAGCTTCTGTGAATGGTTTAACTGAAGCAATTTAGAGCCACATTTTCTATTTTTTAAACAGTTGCATTTCATATAGTAGATTTAAAAAGAAAACGTAATACAACTGAAATGACTGGTTGCTCAAAAGAAACAAAATAAAAGCAATAAAAAAATAGCATTTTTATATCCGATTACTAGTTTTGGTAATTCTTTATGCAAAAATCCAGCTCTGCCAATGTGAAGATTCTCTGTTCCTTTCTGTTCTATATCGATTTACTGAATATTTTGTGAATTGTTGGTTGAACTAAACAAAACATTTAAAATTTGTTCCACTTTTTTGACACTTCAGAGAGGAATCAATAAATAGATTAATTAAAAGAAAAACAACTGCAGATGAATCCTTAGTTGCAGCCCTAAATACTGATAATTAAACTGAATATCTTTTGGACTGTTGGTCAAACCAAGAAATCTGAATATGTCAGCTTTCAGAACTTTAATGTACTTTAATCTATAGACATCTACAGATGATTAACTGAGAAACTGATAAGCACATTCATGAAAATCATTGCTAGATGCAACCATAAAACATATTCTGTCACTACTTTGTCTTTTCAAAGTTATTTTGAAGGTACTAGCCAGTGTGACATACATGTGATTGTAACAGACATGGAGTTAAAAAGGCCACTTGGGGTCAGAGCAGGACCTGTGATCTTAGATGTTTAATGCATACAACCCCTCAAATATAAATTCAACATGAGAGCGAGACAGGCAAACAAGTGGACGCTGTGTTAATTAAAATAGTGTGTATGTATCTTTCTGCTGGGCTGTAAAGAGTCACAATTGCAAGTAAGTCTCTACTTCTGGGAGACAGTCCATGTTCAGTTTCAGGTAGTTTTTTTTTTCTGGAGGTGAATCAGATGGATATTTTTGTGGTCCAACCCACAAAGCTTGGGTAAGTAAGTCTGGTAAATCATTCAACCATCTGTTGCTTTGTTATACTCCAGAGAACATCATAAAAAGATTATTACTCAAAGGCAACTAAAATAACAACATTTCAATTTCCATTACAGGAAAGCGAGTTCTTTGATCTCGTAATGCATTTGTAGCAAGTTTAAAGGGAAGAATATGAAAATGGTGCTGATTACATCTAAGGGATTGTTGTATTAATAATGATGCGTTTCCCTTTTTTCCCTCCTCTTTACATGTGCTGATGTGTGCTCGCTGCCAAGGACGAAGTTTAAACAGCATGATTTCACCATTTAATGAGGACCTTGCTTATGAAGTGTCTGGCTTAGAGATTCAAAGCATGTGCTGTATGTAAAACAGTTGGCGCGTGGACCTCGACATTATTCCAAGCTCTAACTGAAAAATGCCAACTAAAAGTAAAGCATGTTTAGTATGTAATTCTTCCTCTATTTCTCTCGACGTCTTCCTCGCTCACTCTCTCTATCTCCCTCAACCACAATGGCCTATTTAAGCAACAACATGTCAACAGTCAAGATGACAGGATTGATGTCAGAAAATACCGTGGTGAGGTTAGCAGAGTTGAGGCGACCGCAGATTACCCTCATGTAGCAGATTAGAGTAATGAGTTTTACTGTGCTATAAACTGTCACTGTTCAGTTTAATAGACACCTCTCTTCCTCTTCTGCCTCTTGATCATTTGCTGATGCTGTGGTGCTGCATTCTGATCTGAATGGCTAAATCTTTCTTGGCTCATCTGACTTGAATGCAAATGTGAATTTGAGAACCACAGTTTGAGATGAGGACTTGTGTGTGTTGCCTCATAAAACAAATGCACTTTTTCAGTTTCAGGAGACCAGGGGGCGCCCTTTATGATGGCTACGAGCATGTTTCTACTCCGTCCTGTGCACACTGAGTGCAAGCAAAGCATCCGACCTATATTACAGATCTTTTATCTTGGGCAGACGTGTTTCCCATACGTGTGAAGTTCTTTTAACACTGTTAGAGGACGTTCTTGGCCTTCACAGGAAATCCTTTTGACAAGATATGCTCCCCGTATATAAATGCCAGCTGAAATGTGCTCTGACAGGAGGCCTCCAGAGGCTGTTACAAACTGTGGTTTTTCTCAACACAGACAATTATTCCTTTAGTTTGTTATTACCACAGCAGTGTAATTTAGCGATTTAGAGCATAATGCCTGCAGTAGTTGGCAGCCATTTCTACTTCTTCCCCTACTGTATTCTGCAGCTGGGACAAAGTCTGCCCTTGACTTGACTGAAAAGTAGCTACTTCCTTCTCATCTGGCCATACCAAGAAGGCGCTATAGATAATGTGTGGTTACAGATAATGATTAGTCTACACAGGGTTTTCCCCCTGCATGCTGTACACAGCATGAAAGTGCAGTTTCACTCTGATATCTAAGATGTATTCTGAAAGAGATACACCTGTTGCTTTTTCCGAGCACAAGCCAGTCCAGGGTTCAAGTGTTGCATTGGTTTTTTTCTCTTTGTATATAAAGTCTGAGTACTTTCATGCCTGTTTTTACAGGTCTCTTACAGCCTGTTAACCACCCCCAGTGGTCATGTTTTGATCTACAAATAGGATAGAACTCCCAAATAACCCAGAAAAAATGCATCCAGACAAACTTTACTATTAGGATATAGAGTCTAAACTAAAGTCCTCCGGTGTTAAAACATTGCCAGTGAGGGAACAAGAGAACAAACTGCCCTACTCACTCTGTTTGAAGCCAAGGAAGGGGATCCTCTCTATGGGTGTGTCTCTTTCTTTCATGTACTTGTAGAGTGCTACTAAGAAAGCCTGCTCCTCTGCTCGGGTCTCCTCTGATGCTTCCTCCTCTCTCTTCTCCTCCTCCTCATTCCTCTCTTCCTTTTCCCTCTCCTTCCCTCTCTCCTTCTCCTCAGCTGATGATTTCCTGCTCAGGCTGCTAGCCTTGTGTTTGGCTCCTGGGGTTATTTTTCCATTGGGTACCGTTTTACAGTTGACTTTGACCTGCAAAGAGAAAGCATAAAGAATCAGCGTAAGTCATTGTAGATGAAAACTGAAGCCTTTATGGAGTGTTATTCAAATGATGTCAGACAGTTTGGATGATGTGTGTTTTGGTTCAAACACAAACAAATATTCTAACAGGCCACAGAAGCAGCCTCTCATTGATTATCAATAGAGCAGCTCTTCTTGTCATCACAGATTAGACACAGATTAGTCTGACTCTGGCTTCAAGAGAATTGCTAATATTGATTTAACTGTCCAAGGTCATATGGGAAGAGCAGCTTTGGACGGGCTTTTAGGGTAGATATTTCCTTCACTTTGAATATTACAACCAATGTCAGAGAGGAGTTCAACAAAAAGTCTCACTGAAAAATACAGAATCAGTGGTAAAACATCAGTTAAGACATCATTAAAAACCACTGATTTCTTTAATAAAACGAGTGATAAAGCTCTAACAACAGAGAGTGGTGATTTAACTTGTTTCTAACACAAATCTGTCTTCAATTTTCTTAAAGTAACATGGTAAATGGACTGCACTTAAGCAGCACTTTTCCACCAAGAAGATGGCCAGGACAACGGGGGCAACTTGGGGTTCGGTATCTTACACACAAACAACTGGACATGTGGACCAGAGGAGCCAGGGATCGAACTGCAATCAACCTCGTCCCGGGAATTTGATAGCAGCTATTCTTTTATATTCACAATACATAATCACAATACTGCCTCTTGTTTTTAGAAAATGCAGCTGGGAAAAAATTAAAAACATCTTGTTTCACTGTGAGCCCATGTTGTTCTTGTTTAAATGCAGCTTGGGGAGAGGAAGAGTGAAAACAGAACAAAAGAGTGCTGCTCTATAGCCTTGCTATTATAATGTAACTGAATAAATTAGTCAGCTGAAAACAAATCATACTGTTTATAATAACATATTTTTATAATTTGGATAGTATGGCCAATATCGTTTGACTCGAGGTCCATAGATATGAACTTTATTAGAAAAAACACATTTAATAAAACCTAATAAAATAAAATCCCTTTATCTGTTTTCCCACCTCGCACTCTTTCTCTGTGCTGCATGTTATGTATGAATTTCTCCTCGGAGATGTATAAAGTTTTATGTTATCTTATTTTACCTTGGTAGTAGTTTTGCTCTCTGGGCTGCAGGGGTCCTGTGCTGCTACTGCTGTTGACCCCTGGCTTGACCCTGATGACCCTTGACCCTGAGCCTGACCCTGGGAGTCCCTCTTTTGAGAGATGGACAGTTTCTTCTTTCGAGGTCTCCCCTTCAGGTTGGGAGCTGAGATGAAGGAAACAGTAACAATGAGAACAACAGTTTATGTGGAAACACATGTGCTGTTTAATCAATACATATTTTAGTCTTTGTTGCCAACATTTGGTCAAGTCTAATATTTTTATCTTAATATATTATTATTATTACAATGAAAAACAAAGTGTTTATAGCCATTAACCAGCCAACATTAGCTTGTAGCTGAGGAGATCAGAGGCTATGACTGAAACATTTACAATCGAGGAAAGGAATTTCACAAGCCTGTAGCTAATTATTTTTAAACTGGATTCTTATAACATTGTCTTGAATGCTGCAAAATTGCTCCAGTATGACGATAAACATGATCCTCAAGTTCCCTTGCAGCCTTAAAGAATCATTTAAAGCCAGACAGATGCATTTTTAAAATTTCACATGAGGGTATCTGAAGAGTCGAGCAGTTAACAGAATACTGTAAATGACAGATGCTGGTTAACCACAAACCACTAAAGGGGAGAAGTTTTAAACAAACAGTTTCTGCTAAAAGAATATTTGATACAGATGCTTGTATGTGTTTCCCACCAGAACAACATATATCTAATACACCTATGTTCTGTCTTGTTTTTCAAAGCAAGACTGCCACAGTTGCCATCTCATCAACATCATCAGCATAATAAAGACTCAAATTACACTATAGCACCTCAGATGTACTGATCGTGATGGCTCTATTTTTGGTGTGTCGCCTGCTCATGTCTTAAAACTGAATGCTGCTAATTAAAAACACATGAACCTGCCTGATAGGAACTCTTTGTTTGAAAGGTTGGCAGATATAATTGCTCAGTTCACATTACACACACAATAAAGTATTTAAGCCCTCCAAGTCCTTTGTACACCCACGTTTATGTCAACTTGCGACTGTAATGTAACTTCTTGGCAGAGTGCCCTGCCTCCACACAGCAACACAAACAGAGATAAGCTCAAAGGAGACGGAGAGAGTGAGAGATAGAGAGAAAGAAAAAGAGAGAAACTTCAAATAATCCAAGTACAGTCACGTATTTCACAGCGTCAACATGCTTTCCATCCATCTGCAATGACAATTAAGTCACATCCAAGTTTGTTCTCTGCCAAAACGACCCTGTGATTATTTTTGTCAGATCAAATTCCCATCAAGAAAATGTTACAATAACACCAGAGCTGAATAAAACTATGAGGCAGTCATTAAAAAGGGTAAAATGATCACAACTCAGCAACCTATCACTTCATGTTGTTATTTTCACAACTGCTACACTGTGGAGAAACACTGCAGGGAAAATTCCAAGGGTATTTGTTGTGCATTTGTCATCCTCTTGGCACTGAAAAAAAAAACAAGTTCTCAACACTGTAGTCTTTACTTAGAAAGCACCGGGCGTGTTTCTTCCCTCAGTGTTTTCTCACTCTGCCTCTTTTCCTTCCAATTAATCAGCAATGCTGGGAAATTACATAAACCCTATTATTTATTTATTTACTTATGCTTATTTTGAAGAGATAGACACATATTCACTGAACAGGCTAATGCGACAGATCACAACATTTACTGCCTGGGGTAATTTACAATGTTTGGGTTTCTGTAAGAAATAAATATGTAATTAAACAAAACAAACCATAAATAGATGGTAAAATTGCAATAAAGCTTCTATTATAACACATAACATCTTAAGAAAACCAAGTGAAGATGGCATGGCAAATATGTACAGTGCATTAAAATCATCAAACAAAACATTAGCATTATGTGAGAGATGATTAATGCTTTGAGATTTATTTTTTAACATGTAACATCAGTTTAAATAAATGTCACACAGGGCTGAGTGAGGTCACACTCTCAGTGCGGGTCTGTTCACAGTCCAATCACTAACCCCCCAACACCCTACACTCAGTTACATAACCTTCCTGTGTGTTTACATTGTTCATCAGGTCAAATACTGCTGCATACAACAACAGTGCAACTACAGCAAAACGCTGCTGCAAAACACATGGTGACACGACAGCTAGCGAGTTTAAATTCACTGACTTATTGATAAAGGACAAACCAGGTAGATTTTAATGTAAGCTGGGGTCAAATGGGGCATTCATGTATCTTTGTCGACATGCACAAACAGCCACACACGGTCAAATGCAAGCAATGTTTCTGGGCTGCAAAAGTAGTGCAGAACTGCTGATCTGCTCTCCTTGTGGCAGAGGGAGGAGTCACCATCTTTAGAATAAGACGAAGAAAATGAAATGTTGACAGACTCTATGTGGATTGATTTTTTGGAATGGAAACAGATATTTATAGACTGTTAAAAAACAAAGCCAACATCACAAGATAGTGATTTTACACCACCCCAGGAGATATTTTTACCACTCTGTCAGTGTTCTAGAAAGAAAAAAGACAATGTAAGTGTACTTGATACTTCCTTCAATGAGGCAAAAATGGGCACCACAGTCATCCACCAAAAATGGCTGCTGACCAAGTTCCTTTTTGCTTCACATTAGATTACTTATTTGTCAGTCTGAGGCTTTCAGCTTATCTGAGTCACTGATATGACTTGGAGATGTGCCTTGAAGTGACCAGAGGATCCTTGCCTGATCCTCCAGAAGGGACACACACATACACACAGATTTTGTAATGCTAAATAGCATACACGCAAACATATACAAATAGATGTACACACAGTGGTGGAAGAAGTACTCAGATTCTTAAATAAAAGTAGCAATACCATAATGTAAAAACACCCTGCTATAAGTAAAAGTCCTGCATTCAAAAGGTTACATAAGTACAAAAGTACTAGCATCAAAATATACTTAAAGTAGAAAAGTACTGTGTATAGAATGGCATATGTCATATATTTATCATATTGCTGGCTTATAATTATCAATGTATTACTGTGTACATCAAATTTAATGTTGCAGTTGGTAAAGGTAGAGCTCAATAAAGTAGTAACTAAAAAAGAATCTGATAATGTAGTGGAGTAAAACAGTACAATATTTGCTAATATGTAGAGAAGACAAAGTAGCAGAATATAAAAATGCTAAAGTAAAGTACAGATACCTTTAACTGAGTACAGTACTTAAATAAATGTACTTAGTTACTTTCCACCACTGTGTATAAACACACAGGTAAGGGGCAGTCCCTGAAGTGGTGCTGCTACTTCATACTTGACTGCACTTTAGAGGTAAATATTATACTTTTTACTCTGCTACATTTATTTGATAATTTAAATTACTTTTCAGAATCAGATTAATAAAACAAAATACAATATAATCATAAGACTATTGATCCCTGGTGGGAAATTCACAAGCTAACCAGCATATAAGGTAATTAGCATTAGCTCCACCTTTACCGGCTTCAGCATTTAATGTGATGTATACAATAATGTGTTAACTTAGTTACTTTCCACCACTGTGTATAAACACACAGGTAAGGGGCAGTCCCTGAAGTGGTGCTGCTACTTCATACTTGACTGCACTTTAGAGGTAAATATTATACTTTTTACTCTGCTACATTTATTTGATAATTTAAATTACTTTTCAGAATCAGATTAATAAAACAAAATACAATATAATCATAAGACTATTGATCCCTGGTGGGAAATTCACAAGCTAACCAGCATATAAGGTAATTAGCATTAGCTCCACCTTTACCGGCTTCAGCATTTAATGTGATGTATACAATAATGTGTTAATAATTTTAATCCAATAATATGATATACATTAATGTTAAATGTGCCATTCTGCATAATGAGTATTTTTTACTTTTAGTACTGTTACTTTTGAAATCCAGGACCTGTACTATTTAAACAGTATCTTCACACTGTGGCGTTGCTACTATTACTTAAGTAAACAATCTGAGGACTTACTGTTTCCCTGGAGTGTGATTCAGTGGTGTCTTGTCAAACAGCACAACCCTGAGCCATGAAAGTCACGCCAACTTCAGCGGCAACAAGCGCAGCCTGACAACTTGATCTCCATTTGCGGCCGAACGCTCCCAGCTCTTAACAGCTTTACAACATGGCTTTGTCTAATAATTTCTCCCCCCACAGATTCAATTAAATGCAGCCCCAATACTTCTGCCTCCATTCAGTTGATGTCAATGATAATGAAAACTCATTAGAGATGGCTCAGGAAGGGGTTCTGATGGTTCTGTGCATCAACAGAGTAGAGCCACAGGGAACCACAACAAAATGGACTGATTGATTGAGAGGCTGCTGGGAATGAAGAGACATATTAAGCCGACCGGAGACTTCCCCTGATGGATGCCTCAGTTGATAACATTTGCAAAAAATGAAAAAAAAAACTCAATATCTACTGTACATGTACTGACTTAATGACTGTCTGTTCAAGGGAGTGTAGACAAATAATCAAGCTGACAATGAGCACTTTTTTAAACATATGATTGACAAACCTAAATTAAAAGCTCAGGGACTGAAAACTTACTTTAATGAACACAAGTTGATTAACAGCCAACTCGTCTGTTTGTTTGGAAGCTTTGAAATACACTTATAACCACAGATGTGTCATCATCTATTTGCAGCCACACTAGCAATCTGGGTCCAGGGGTGGCATTTTCGGTTGGTCAGTCCGCCACTTTGGTCCAAGCTGAATTATCTCAACAACCACTGGATAGAGTGGCACAAATATCTTCTTTACCGACCCTGCCACCATGAAACATTTACACTTTTTAGTGAACTGTTCATGTAGTTTGTTATAGACATTCATATTTCTCACAGGATGAAGTGTAATTCGATGACTGTTCATCTGGTGCTAGTGTAAAGTAAAAACTTCAATTTGTGTAATAATTTACTTTATGACCTTCGATAATGTTGCAGGTATATTAGCTCCTGTGTAAGACTGAGTATCATTCCAAAATTTTCAGTACCGATTCTTTGACTTTACCTAACAATTCCTAAACAACACCTTTTCCAATACCAATTTTATATAATCAATTGTAACAAAAAAATCACATGCCAACCTCAAGTTCTGTTAACATTAACATTAATAACTAAAAATTTGGGAAA